AGAAAATGCGCTCAGCGCTTTGGCAAGAGCCTCAGTGCGCATATCTCCTTGATCCTATCGTAACGTGCCGCGCGCCTGGGTGAGCAACTTGGCGCCTCTCGCTGGAAAAGCATACATGGATTCTTGAGTGGCAGTGCGTACCAGTTTATCATTTTGACGTAATTCTTCCGCCTCGCCAGCACATGAGTGCATGCAACTGGTGTGTCACGTGGCCGAGCTGCTTCTTCAGGACTGCATTTGCCTGCCTTCTGCGCCTCAGAGCCCCAGGCGCCGTCCTCAGGCGCGTAAAAAAAAAAACAAAGAAGAGCCAGTGGAAAGAACATTAACATGTAAATTTTGTTCACGTTTTTATGATTGTTGACGCAAAATTTTTTTTTGTTCCTTTGATGTACAGGTAAATTCTTAAAGTTTCAAAGTTTTAAAGTTATGAACAAGCTTGTCAGCAAAGGTTTTGAAGCAGAACTTTGGATGCGGTCCATGCTCTCGATTGCCATCTTGTTCGGTACGCAGCAGGAAAAGGGCAGCAACACAGGTGCTTGCACCACCACCACCATGGTTGTGCATGTGAGCCATCACCACCATCATGAGCAAACAGCAGTCAATGAAACTACCAGCTGATTGACAAGCACCGCCACCACCCCTGCCTGATAAAGCGTGCGCTAACATGGTCCTCGAGGCGGTTGAGGCTGAATTATCACGCAGATGTCCTTGCAGGGCGCAAGTTTGAGCTGATTTGTAGCCCTGCACCGCAACAGCCTGACGCTCATTTCCGCCAGTGTGAACCGCATTGACATGCGAGCCTCAGGCTCGGCTTGCTCGATTTTAGCCGTCTGATCAAAAGTCACGGGTGATGGTCTCGAAAAGCGCTTGCTAGTCGCTCGCTTGGGTTAGGGTTTGTCACTTGCTGATGATAGACCGCAGATCGTCAAACGCACGCGCCTCAAACATCTCAAGCTGTGCGTGGCAGTCGACACTGAAAAGGACCGCAACCAAAGCGTCGCAGAGCCTCTTCTGCTCGGTCAGGATATCAGTTTGAAATCGAGCCACCCGAGTCTATTGTGAGGAACACAAGGGCTCAGGGGTAGACTTGACTACCTCACCTTCTGATATCGAGCTTTGATATGATCTGAGCCGGTGGCTGGCACAAAGCATCTTCAAAACCAGCTCATTTCATCGAGGCAAGAAGCGTGAGAGTGGAAAGAGATCTCAATTAATCCGACGCCTGTTTAGACGACAGCCAAGTGAACCCTCATTCTTCTACAGCGGCAGTCAACTTAGAGGAAAGATAAACGGGAAAGGTATCAAGAAGAATGACACTTCCGGTCTACCGGACGGTACTTATATTTCGATGGCAGGAACAATTACGATGTTTTACATGTCTCCTTGACGAGCACCGTGAAGGATAATCAAACATCATCGCCAGGACTGGCGACTTCCAGTACTCCAATAGCTTCTCGACATACGTCTATGCTTGTAGTCCAATACATGATGACGTTACTTCTTGTGTTTCTTGTCTTTTTTGGCTCGCGCTTGTTCCATTTCTCCTTCGGCGAGTCCCCCTCATCACCAGCTCGTGCAGCGCCGCAGCCGCCACGACCGAGACACCATGGTCATCAGTCGATGTCATGGCGAATAAAGACAGGACTGTTTTTCGCTCTTTTTCGGTGCTTGTTGGACTGTTCTGCTTCAGACATCTGGCAAAGCCCGCCCTGGTCATTGACTTCATTCTCTGTTTGCATAGCGATCGACAAAGCAACCACAAGCTTCACATATTTCAATTTGTAGGTGCAGCTTGAGCGGTGGCCGTTTGAGCGGCCTGGTAGTCACAAAGGGTTTGTAGATCTTGAATATTGAACAATTGAGGATCCACGCGCCAACCGACGTTACATAGAACAGCAGCAGCGCACCGCCAGCGTCTGGCCTGCTCCGCATGAATCAAGCCTTGGACTGGCGCCACGTGGAATTCCGATGAGAACAAGACAATGCGGACAATGACATGGGAATCAGGTTCGCACCATCGGGATTGGAAGTTTGGTAGGAGCAAGGAGAACGGGTTGCGCCCAGTAGCTCTGTGATCACCTATAAAGGGAAACAGCTTCATCGGTAAGCAAGCTTTCTGCAATTAGTACCACAAATAAAAACAGGCCCACCTCCAGCTTGATGCGAGTTTTGCAAAGGAGCAGATCCAAGGGTCGTGCACCCGTCTGCCACAGCAGGTCATCAGGTATCAATCGCAGGTGCAGCAGAACAGCGCAAAAGGTACGGCATTGTGGTAAAATGCTTACAAGATCTCTCGCATCTGGGTCGGCACCGTGACGCAAGAGTTGCTGGACAACCTTTCGGCTGGCAGACGAGACAGTGCAGGCTTGTTGGAGCGGCGTGTTGCCGCGCTATATACAATCAATATGAAGAAACATGAGTTTTTTTTTTTTTTTTTTTTTTTTTTTTTTTTTTTTGGGGGGGGGGGGGGGGGGGGG